ATGCTGGATTTAATACACCTTCTATTAACTGTTTTGGAAGCAACTTTATTACACAGGAATGGGACGACGAATTATTTCAGAATTCTGGAAACTTGTTTTAAAACGTTTTCAAGTTGATTAAAAGTTGGAAGGTGCTTAGAATATACTGATATTTTGATTCAAGCTATTTTTTAAAAATATTTTTTAAATTAATTATTTTAATTAAAATAAAATGTTTTTTTAATTTTCTTATTTATCTATTTTCAATTTTTAATTAATTTAATATTAAAAAATAAAATAATTAAACAATGGGATATTATATCACCCATATTTCTTTCTTTAAAAATGGAACTGAATTGAAACAAAAAAATAATTGAAGCAGGTAAACGAATCAAAAAATAAAAAATCTAGGTGGATTGACCTAGTTTAGTTTATAATTTATTTTTATGGATGAATGGCGGTTTAAAATGAAATAAATCTCATTTTTAGGTTATTTTTATTCTCTAAAATGTACTTTATTTTTGATTATTCCCAAAAATAATTTTATAAATATTTTTTGATTTAATAAAAATAATTTTTAAAAAATATTAGGAGCAAAAATGAGACACTTTTCTTTAATAATAATTTCATTTTACCTTCTATTTTTTTTAAATATTGTATTTGATCGAACCCATGGGAAGCCTAACATGTCCAAGACTAAGATGAAAGAGTCTGTGTTGATGAATGGGTTCTTAGATTTTCAAAAAAAATTTTTAAATTTAATTAAAGACCAGTAAGACTCCAGCGAAAGCCTAGAGTGCCCGTTGCTGCCATGTACAGAGGTGTTGTGCACACCGGGGAAGTACATCGCCTCAGGGTAAATTTAAAAATTTAAATAATTAATTTAACTAATTTAAAAAAGCGCCAACTATTAAATATTGGTGTGCCTACGCCTCCTCCCGTCCCTCGTATTCCTGTGCCGTATCCATACCGTTCAAAATCTGAGACAATTAATGATAGTGTAAATGATCGTCTACCTTCGTCTAATCGTATAAGGGTAATTTAAAATTTTTTTTGATAATTATATTTAAATATTTTTAAATTTTTAAGCGACAGATCGTAATTCGTGCACCGACTCCACCTCCAATTCCCTCAATCCCTGGCGTTGGCATAAATCGACGAAAGGTGGAATTACTTCTATAAATTTTTAGACATTTCTAGATTCTAAAATAATTTTTTAAATTTATTTAAGAGTCGTTCTCTCACTCCAAGTGATCATTCTGCAATTACAGGCTCCGACCAGATGCAAATGATCCACCATAAATACGCTTATATCGTTCATAATTCTAAACAAGCTGGATTTTAATAAATAAGAGAACATTAGAATTTCTTGAATTTTTAAAAATATTTTAAAAATAAAAATTTTCACTCTTAATTTACTCGTCCATAAATTAAAAATAAATTTAAAAATTTATAGAAAGCGCATTTTAATTTAAAAAAATTTTCTTTATTTAAAAATAAAATTAGAAAACCACACACAATGTTAATTATTAAAAATATAATTATCTCATTAATAATAAATTTTGAAAGACATTTTTATTTGTTAAAAAAGGGAGGAGGCATTTTAATTAAATAGCGAAGATAAAATAAAATTAAGAAAAAAAAGATAGCAAAATAAAAAGGAATTTTTTTAATTTATTTAAAATCAGAAATTCAAGTTTACAAACTAGCATACCTAGGTACTCATTTACAAATAAAAACAAATCAAGTTCTAACCATTAAAGTAAGAGAAGACAGAATTACAAATCAAAAAATCAGAATATCAGGTTTTACACATTAGAATATGTTAAAGTACCGTATTTACTCTAATAATCCCCCAGTCCTTTATTAATCCCCCAGTCTCTATTAATTCCCCACTCTAGAGATGGGTTGAAAAATAATCCCCCTCTTTCTACCCCACTCTAATAATTCCCCAGTCTCTATTAATTCCCCACTCTAGAGATGGGTTGAAAAATAATCCCCCTCTTTCTACCCCACTCTAATAATTCCCCAGTCTCTATTAATTCCCCACTCTAGAGATGGGTTGAAAAATAATCCCCCTTCTTTCTACCCCACTCTATTAATTCCCCAGTCTCTATTAATTCCCCACTCTAGAAATGGGTTGAAACAATAATCCCCCTGGGGGATTACTAGAGAAAATACGGTATATTATTTTTATACACTTAAATTACAACTTGAATTACAAATCAGAATTCAAGCTTGAATATTACAAAATGAAAAACCTGAATTATAAAACTTAAATATTAATTGTAAATCGGAAAACATCAAGTTTTACAAACCAGAATATCGCTAGACGTGTTCTGGTTTGTAAAACTTGATGTTTTCTGATTTACACCTAATAAATTAATTTTTACAAATCAGAATATGTACTATTCATTTAATAAACTTGAATTACAAACTTGAATATTACAATCTTAAATAATCACTACAAATCAGAAAATATCAAGTTTCACAAATCAGAATATTGCTAGGCGTGCACTTAATAAACTTGAATTACAAACTCGACTACTAATCGCAAATCAGAATCTTCCAAATTTTACAAACCAGAAATATTTTTAAAAACTAGATAAATTCCTTTTCTAACTATTTTGCTATCTTTTTTACAAAGCATCTAAACTTTAGAATAATTTACTAAAATAAAAATTAGAGTATTTTTCAATAGAAACAATTTCTTGAAAAAAAGCTTATTAATAGAATAAAAATATTTTTATAAAAAAATTTTTTTGGGTTGATAATTTTCTTCTCCTCTTTCTTCTGCTTCTTCATCATAAATTCCAATTTTGACATAGTGAGGATATTTTTAATTCCCTGAGGTTCTCTAGACTTACAATTATATTTAATAATTGTAATTTTACAAACTTGAAATAGGAAAATTGTAAAAATTAAAGAGAATATATTGAATATAAGCATAGTCAAAATTTAATTAAAATTTATTTTCTGGCGAGATAAAATTTCAAACTTCCTGAGGTGTTGTGATTTTTGCGCGCAAGTATAGGTGCAATGTAATAACAGGGATAGGACAAGTTGGAAGAAAAAGATTGGTTAGAGGGATCGAGGGTTGTTGGCTTGGGTTTCGAGTCAGCTAGCAAGAAAGTCCGGTGTTTCACATTTTTCTTTGGATCGGGTTTCAAATTTTCGAGTCAGCAAGAAAAAAGTCCCGGCCTCGGATACCCCATCCTATCCCTGCTATCTATGAAGTATAAAAAACAATTTTAGAAGAAGAATCGTTTTTAAGTCAAAAAATAAAAATAAAAAAATCGGCATTTATAATGGGTTGTCCATAAATTGTCCATAAAAATTAAAAATCCTAGAAGTTATTGTCAACCCATTATTTAAAAAAGAGAATCGTTAAAAAAATATTTTTGAATGTATATTTATAAAAGTATTGAAAGACGTGGTTAAGAAGAAAAATATTAATGGAAGAAGCAAAATATTTAAATTAATTTTGCTAATTTTACAAAATTAAAAGAATGCAAAAACATGTTGAATATTAAACCTCTCTTTATCGCAAACTTAAAAACTTATTCTTAAAATTTTGCAAACTTGAGACAAGTTTAAAGCTTTACAACTGTAAAGCATATAGCTATTTATTTCCTAAGGCTGTGCAGTAGACGGCGTGATGTAACGGATAACACATCAGTCCGGTCTACTGGAGGATGCTGGTTCGTTCCAGAGGTCGAATAACCTTTTGCACTAGCTAAAGGAGAGAAATAGCTATAGCTTATGTTAGCTGCTTTACTCAATCTTAAAACTTAAAAAAGTAATTAAATGTTCCTTTAAATAGGTTTATAAATGAGAGATTTAACTAAATTAACAAAAAATGATTTTCAAATTTCCTGAGAGGAATAAAAAGTTATGACGAGAATTGCCGCTGCATTTAAATTAGAAAATGTGTCTATAGAGTATTTAAAAATTGAAAAAAAAAATTATTTTTACAAATATATAAGTAGAAATATTGAAATTTATAGCAAAATATTAAGGGATTAAGATTAAATATGGAAGTTAATAGTGTGGAATTAAATATGGAATTAATAGGAAAGGGATTATTTACACCTGGACCGGGGAGGAATTCATTGAATTTAAAGGGTTAGGATATTTTTAAATTATTTTTTGATGTTTTAGGAGTAAGGATAAAGTCGAAACTTGATTTTACATATACATACTTGAGGTTAAAAGTAGAGACCGAACTGTGAGAGCCGTATGAGAATCAAGTTAAGTATCCAGATCTCTACTTGAAGGAGTGTAACCATTATTGTGGATAACATGTAGCAGTGTATTTAGTATCTTCCTTCACCTAGTGGTCCAACCAATAATTGTAGTAATTAAAATTGAGACCGAACTGGGAGAGCCGTATGAGAATCGAGTTCGACGTTTCGAAGATTATCGAGATTTTCGATAAGAATTTCGTCGCGGCCCGATATCTACTTAAAGAAGTGTATCCATCATTATTGGGGACAACACGTAAGAGTAGCTCATTCCCACCCCTATTGGCCAACTAAATTCAAAAAAATAAGTAATTTAAATTGAGGGTGTGTATGTAAAATCAAGGTTCGACTGTATATATAGTATTATTAAACAATAAAAAAAATATATTATTTTATATAAATCAAGAGGTATTTAATTCATGCAGCTAAATAAAATTAAATAAAAAAATTAAATTTTGTAGCAAAATATGCCTAAATTTAGGCAATTTAAATATATAAAAGTACATAATCTAAATTATTGTTTAAGCTAAGAGGTCTAAAAAATTCAAAAATTTAAATAAAATTATTTTTAAGCTTAAACAATGTTAAATAATGATGATTAAACATGTACAGCTATATATGTTGTGGTAATTTTGGGGAGGGATATTTAAACAAAGACTTGAAAATTTTTAAAAGAATTTTTAAATAGGGGAAGGCGAAAGTATATTTTTGAAAATTAAAAATAAATTACTAAAAGCTGGGGAAAAAATTTAAAAAAAAATTTAAGAAAAAAATAATTTAAAAGCAAGGAGAAGATGAAGAAGCATCCATTGGTTGTGAAGACAAAAGAGAATTATTTGAAGTATTTTTTTGATTATTTATTGGAGATAATTGTTGTTTGATATTTACAATTGTTGTTGGTTTGGATATTTCTGATGGTTGCTATTAAAGTTAAAAAATTAGTAAGAATTGTAAAATCAGAATTTTAAAAATCAGAAATTGTAAAAACCAGAATTCTTAAGATTAGAATTTGAAAAAAATCAGATTTTTACAAATCAGAATTTGTAAAAACCAGAATTTCAGGAATCATTTAAAAGTCAGAATTTTACTTATAAATCAGAACAAAAAAATCAGAATTTGTATATATCAGAATTTTAGGAATCAGAATTTGTAAAAACCAAAATTTTAAAGATCAGAAAATCTTCTGTATTTGTAATTTAAATTAAAAATCAGAAATATTCTCAAAAAAGTAAATTGTAAAAACGCAGAAATCTATAACACGTTAATTTCAGTATTAAAAAATCAGAATGTTTTAAATTGTTTTTTAAAAATTAATTTTTCTTAAATTAAAGAATATTTTTTTAAAAATTTAATTTACATCATTTGTATCAATACTATCCCTGTCCGCATCCCCAGGACTTTGTTGGTGTGTAATTGAAGCCTCCCCAGTCGATTGAGAGGATATTGTAGGAGAAGAAAGTGGGCAACAGCCCAAATCTTCGTCCAATAATTCTTCATCCATTAATTCTCTCTCAACACTATTAATTTCCTCCTTTAAAGGACCGTTATCCTCAGATATCTTAAATTAAATATCAGAAAAAATTTATTTTCGGGAAATCACCTCCATCTTTTCTACATTTGATGGCTGTGAAGTAATGCAAACAGTATTCTCTAATGTTGCTCCTAAAGGTGAATGATTACAACCATTTCCAGTAGCAACATCGGAAATTCGAGAGGCCAATTCTGTTGCAGCGAGAGTATTCTTTAAAAAATCAGATTTAATTATTTTAAATATTCCATGAAAAATCAGAATTAACAAAAGAAAATAATTTTATAATTGCAAATAAAAGTCAGAAATACAATTCTGATTAATTGTAAAGTCAGAATTATTAATTGTAAAACCAAAGAAACTTTTTTTACAATCTAGAAGAATATTCTGATTTTTACAAATTCTGATTTTTACAAATTCTGATTTTTACAAATTCTGATTTTTACAAATTCTGATTTTTACAAATTCTGATTTTTACAAATTCTGATTTTTACAAATTCTGATTTTTACAAATTCTGATTTTTACAAATTCTGATTTTTACAAATTCTGATTTTACAATTCAGAATAATTACTTACACACATCATATAATTAAAAATCAGTCTATTTTACAAATCAGAATAATTATTACCTCAAATAATTAAAAATCAGAATTATTAAATTGTAAAACTTATTTTTAAGTTCACAAACCAGAATATTTAATTTTAGAAATTTTACAATTCCCTTTTACAAACTTGAAAATTAAACTTGGAAAATACAAACATTTATTTTACATTTGTGAATGCTGCTCTATTACTTAACTACTAAATTTGAAAATATTTATTACCTCAAAATTTCCCAAAGCTGAATTTAACGAAAATTTCTGTTGTTGATGGAATTGTTGTTGTCTATTAGCTAATTCGACTAAAGCGTTTATTGTTTCTGCATTACAAATAGAATCCTCTGTTCCATGTGAATTATTTCTTGACATTCCGCTGTTAAATTGAGTAAATGCCGATGTTGGTTGACTGCCTAACATTAACGAAGGGTTATCTAAGCCTCCACTAGAAACAGCCATGCCATGCCTGGAGTTGTGGTTTTTTCGAGCATGTCGAACACGACGGCATCTTAGAAGTATTATAAATAATGGATTTATGTATGTATTTTTGTTGGTTCGGTTCTGATTCTGAACCCTGATTCCACAAACAGTCTATTCTAGAGATCGGGCTGGGTCTCTAGGCTTCTCTATGCCAAGGCCTGGGTTTTTCCTGTACCCAGAGTCCAGGCCTAAGCATTTTTGACCTTCCTGGGTTTTTACTGGGCCTAGGGTTTTCCTTGACTACAGGCTCAGGACCCAGTTCAGGTTGAGAAATCAAACCCAGAGTCCAGGAACAGATCCAGTTTCCGATCACTAGTACATTCCTCTCCGTTTCTCAAAAAAAGTTATCCTCAACCGGTAGGGGACCAGCTATGTACTATAATTCATTGTTTAATTTAATTAATTTTTATCACCTAGCAGCCAATTTACGCATTGCATCACGAAAACACTCTTTAAACTCTTCCTCTTTCTCAACACGTTTAAAAAGCACTTTTTGGCAAACATCTAAGAGAAATATTATTAAAAATCCGAATTCTATAAAATTTACAATAAATATAAATGATGCCCGGCAACGGCAAGTTACTATAACTCGAATGATTTGGAGCTGCTACAGTTGTCTTAGACATTAAACGGGAACCAAAAACACGCTTTTCTGCCAACTTTTTGCATAACTGAGCCATTGTTTCAGCAACACTTTGATTTTCATATTTTTTATTTTGTAAGACTTGTTGGATAACTTGTTGTTCAGTAAGAGGGCGGAAATCTTTTAAAAAAATTGGGGATTGTAAAAACTTTACAAATTGTAAAACTTGGATCGCAAGCGTGTGCTTCAGGTACGGGTATTTGTATTTGTTGAATATACTCTTCTGTATATTTTTGGGAGCAGATAGATTGGATATAATCATCGCTAGCTGCTCTACGCCGCTCAACAACAACAACACGTTCATGTTGGGCAGAATGGTGGTGTTGGAGTAATTGATGGTGGTTGGTATCGTGATGACGCTGTTGTGGGGTTTGGTGGGGGTGTTGGTGTTGAGGTAAATTTCGAGGAAAGGTGGAGGGAACGGGGACTGCTGGAGCAGAATGATGATGTTGATGGAGGAGGTGTTGATTATTTCCTACTCATAAAATAAGAAAATTAATTTTGAATTGTAAAAATAATTTTTTTAATTATACAAAACGGAAAGGAAATTTTTATAAGTTCAGTAAGAGCCCCTAAGATAGGTAAACGTTTAGCCACCAGCAGGCATTGATCCTGCGATCTCCTTGCAGCATTGCTAGACGCATACGCTCATCACGTACAGGTGCTCTACCGACTGAGTTCGTCTTCCTTACATTTCAATCAAAACTTTTATTACTTAAACTCTTACACTTCCAAAATTTCGAAAAAATTGAAATATTATAAATCCAAAAAATTTTACTAGGAGTAAAATGCTGCTGTTGCTGTTGATGTGCTGTTACAGCAGAAACTGATAAAGAAATATTATCACGTGTTGGGGACTGTTGCTGCAAAACAAATTTATTTGGAGCAGCAAAGTGATGTTGCTGATTTTTGGCATTAGAAATAACTGCTGTTTGATGCTGCTGTTGTTGTATACGTTGATGTAAAGCTAATTGTTGTTGTTGTTGTTGCTGTTGTTGTAATGAGACTAATAAAGTTTGAAGTGTAGCTAATTTTGCGGCCATGGGAGTATTAGACAGTGTAGTATTGCCTTAAAGTTTTAAGTTTTACAATTTGTAAAAAAATTTTTCAAGTTTTACAAATTGTAAAGAAAAGGATGTTAAAGGTTTTACAATTTGTAGAAAAAAAGTTTTAATTTTTACAATTTGTAAAGAAAGTTTTAGGTTTTACAATTTGTAAATAACACAAATTTTAAGATTTTACAATTGTAAAAAAAAGTTTTGTTTTACAATTATATAGGGTAGAAAAAAGTTTTAATTTTACAATTGTAAAAAAAAGTTTTGTTTTACAATTATATAGGGTAGAAAAAAGTTTTAATTTTACAATTGTAAAAAAAAGTTTTGTTTTACAATTATATAGGGTAGAAAAAAGTTTTAATTTTACAATTGTAAAAAAAAGTTTAAAGTTTTGTAAATACAATTGTAATTATTTTCAAAAATTGTAAAACACTCTTACAATTGAAAATTTTATTTAAAATTACAGTACATTGTTGTTGCTGTTGTTGAATAACATTAGTTTCTCCTCCATGTGCCGGTGAGAGCAAATGGGAGGTAACCGCAGCATTTGTACGTGAAATTGCGGCGCTAATCAAATCCAACTGATTATTTCGATTATTAGGGTTTAGCAAGTTCTGTTGTTGCTGATTTTGTTGGTGTTGTTGTTGTTGTTGAATTTGATTTACATTAACTATTTGTTGTTGTTGATGTTGCAATTGTTGAAGTAAAGCAGCAGGTTTTGAGTCTAACAATAATTGTGGAGAAGTTTGCAGCATAACCTTAATTTATTACAAATTGTAAAAAACAAGTTGGAATTTTACAAATTGTAAATTAAACTTAAAAGTTTTACAAATTCAGGTTTTATAAATTCAAGTTTTACAAATTCAAGTTTTATAAATTCAAGTTTTATAAATTCAAGTTTTATAAATTCAAGTTTTACAAATTCATGTTTTCTAAATTCAAGTTTTACAAATTCAAGTTTTACAAATACAAGTTTTACAACTTAAAGTTTTACAACTTAAAGTTTTACAATTATAAATTAATATTTCAAGTTTTATAATACAATTGTGATATTTATTTTTAGATAAACAAATAATTTAAATCGACACCTGTGCATTTGTAGATGAGGAAGATGAGGATGTTTCACTAACATCCATATTTGAAGGATCATAAAAGACTGATTCTTAAAAAATTAAAATTATTATCATTCTAATCATTTATTTCCCCACCTCCACTCTGAATACTATTATTCCGGGTACTAGCCCCACTTCCTTGCTGCTGCGATGCTTGCCCATTAATTTGCTGAATTTGTGCAGCTTGTTGAAGCATCTGAATTGTAGAAACTAAAAGTTGGTGTTGCTGCTTTTCTGTGCTTTGTTGGGCAGTTGGATTATTTCCATTCCCCTGTAGTGTAGCAATATCAAGTTGCTGTCCAATTTGTTCAAGTATTCGATTAACACCTGGGGCTGTTGCTGGATTGGAAGCGGATGTTGAGGAGGAGGAAGCGGAACTCATCTTTAAAAATAAAATTTTAAAAAATTATTTGAGAAAAACCGGCACTGGAGGGTGAGATAAATTTTGAGAATGCTGAGAATGATGCTGTTGGTTTGCTGAAGCTTGAGAAAGAAAGAGTTGGAGCACATGCGAATTATCTGAATTTATTAATAATTAAAATTAAAACCAGAATTTGTATTTTTTAAAATCAGAATTTACAATTTCTTTCATTTCAGAATTTGTATTTTTTGCAAATCAGAATTTTTAACTCTCTTACAAATCAGAATTTGCAATTTTTACTTATCAGAATTTGTAATTTTTTTACAAATCAGAATTTACAATATTTTACTTATCAGAATTTGTAATTTTTAAAAATCAGAATTTTTAACTCTCTTACAAATCAGAATTTGTAAATTTTCGGAATTTGTAAAAATTAATTGTAAAATGTTTCATTAAAATATTAATCAGAATTTTAATATTTTTAATTTCAGAATTTATATATTAATTACAATTGTTTGCGTTTCCTGAGTGTTGAAATTGTTGTTGAGCTTGGCCCTGAGAATTGCTATTATTAATTGCAGCCTGGTTTTGTAAAATCAAAGCTTGTCTCAATTGTTGATTTGTTGTTGATTGAAATGTTTGTTGAAGTACTGGCTAAAATTATTTTAAATTAATTTTTAAATTTAATTTTTTTGACTTGAGGAATGGAAGGATGAGGAGGTGAAGGAGGACTTTGAGGTTTTTGTATATGTTGTGGATGTTGCTGACGAAAACGACTTGCAGCCGATGTTGGGGAGAAAGCAGAGCTTTCGTTTTGCATTTGGAAGAGCATTTGGCGTAGTTCTTCGACTTCTCTAAAAATTAAAAAAATAGAGTAAAAATAAAAATATTAAAAATTATGAGCTTTGACATTATTAGAGGTTAAAAAATAATTTAATAAAAATAAAAATAGCCTTGCTAAAAAGGTTCATTTAATAATTAAATAAATATGTATATAAACATATTTATCCTCCTTTGTTCTAAATTAAGCTTTTGTAAAACACAATACAAAATACAAGTTTTTACAATTACAAAAATAATAAGCAAATATTAGGATATTGTAAAAACAAGTTTGTAAAACATGTTTTGCAAAAACATGTTTGTAAAAACAAGTTTATGACAAGTTTTTTAAACATGTTTGCAACAAAGCTTTGAAAACAAGTTTTACAAACGTTTGTAATTGTAAAAACGAAATAAAAACAAGTTTGTAAAACATATTTTGCAAAAACATGTTTGTAAAAAAGTTTTAAACAATTTGTAAAACAAGTTTACAAACAGGCTGTAAAAACTGACAAGTTTTTCTAAACATGTTCGTAATAAAGTTGCAAAACAAGTTTTAAAAGTTTTATAAGCATGGTTGTAATTGTAAAAACAAATTAAAAACAAGTTTGTAAAAATATGGTTGCAAAAAAGTTTTGAACAATTTGTAAAACAAGTTTGCAAACAAGCTGCAAAAACAAGTTTGTAACAATTTTAAATATGTTCGTAACAAAGTTGCAAAACAAGTTTTACAAACAAGTTTGTAATTGTAAAATCAAATTAAAAACAACTTTATTAATTCTCAAGTTTGTTTTCTCAAGTTTGCAATTTATAATAAACTTGAGTAAGTTTGCAATTATTATTCTGCTAATATAAAGTTCAATAGCGGAAAATATTATGATAATTTATTTAAAAGCGTGAGAAGTTTTCTTAAAAAGCAAAATTTTTTGCTACAAATCTTTTTTATTAATTAATGTGTTTTATTTATTTTTAATTTTGCCGTTTATGATATTTAAAGTTTTATTTATATTTTTTGTTTGAATTGCAAAAAATATTTATTTTTATTTAAGAATTTTTTTTCACAAACTTAAGAAAACTTAAAAAGTTTTTACAAACTTAAACAAGCTGCACCTTGCTAAAAACAAGTTTATTTAATTAAGTTTTTTTCTTCTTTTGTATTTTTGACATTAAAAAGTGTTGATTAAGTTAAGTTCTAAACTTGGGTGTATTTTTACCATTTTTAGAGGAAAATAAAGGAAAAAAATAAATTAAAAAATAATTGTATACACCTTGAAAAAATAAAAGAAAAAAATAATATTTTTATTAAAAAAAAGCTAAATTATTTTAACCTTTAAAATATAAGAAAAAGCAAAAATATTAAATGCGTGACAATTTAATTTCGAGAATTTTAAGCTTAATCTGTAGCTAATTTTTGTGTTTTAATAAGATTAAAGAATAATTATTTTTTAAACGTGTTTTGGTTGTAAAAATAGAATTTTTAGTTCTGATTTGTAAAAAATAAAATCAGAAAATAAAATCAGAATTTATTTTTAAAAATCAGAAAACAAAATCAGAATATACTGAAAAAATCAGAAAATAAATCAGAATATTCTGGAAAAATCAGAATATAAAATCAGAATTTAAATATTTTTAGAAAATCAGAATTTTTAATTTAAAAAATATTTCCTCACCGTCTCAACTCCACACAACCTCCACACGGCCCCGTTCCTCCTTCTGCTACAGAATTTGAACAAGTCTGTGTGCCATTCCCTGTAGGTTCAGCTTGAGTAGGCCGTCTATTGGGGAAATTGGTTTCTGAAGTTTGTGGACGTTGTTGATGTTCAGCTTTGGGCTCGATTGGAGATTGTTGATGATTATCACCTATAAAAATTTTTTTAACTTTTTTTTGTCAGATTTAACAGTAATAATCAGTCAGTAACTCTCCTTATTATTTATCAGTACCAGGGGTGGGCGCAAAAGACAAGCGTGAAAAACGCAAAACGCAACGCAAGGCCAAAAATCAAAGCAAAATGCAATGCGCCCACCTCTGATCAGTACAGTAGCGCTTATCAATCCGTAGCACTCTTAATCAGTAGTGCTTATATCAGTAACTCTATCAGTAACGTTTTTATCAGCCTTATATCCTTTTAGTAGTCTTATATCAATAATGCCTTCTACCACTTTATCAGACTATCGATATAAAATCAAACCAGAATTATTATTATTCCCAACAGAAGCTACACCAGAAGTTTGCGATTGCATTAGTTTTTGTTGCTTTTGTAATTGTAATAAATTATTTGCTGTATTTTTAATCGAAACTTGGTCTTCCTCCTCTTTTTGAATTAAACAATTATTTTTTTGTTTTTTCAAAATTATTTGTTTTTGTTGGAAAGCTGCATTATTAACGTTGATAGAATTGCTGCCGCCTGGGGCAGCACCTTTGATTTGCTAAAATTGAACGAACAAATATTTGCTGATGATTTTTAAAGTATTTTTCTAATGAATATACTTTAATCTTCTATAAATTTTTGGATTAAAAAAATTTTTTGAAAATTATTTTTTGATAGGAATATTAAATAGAGGGAAGGTTTAAGTCTGTAGAAAGGTGCCAGGTAGGCCACAGGTCTTCCGGCTGATTAAAAAAAAATATAAATTACAAGATAAACAAGTGATGGATAGAGAATCATTTTTCATTTAATTTAATGAACAAAAATTTTTCTTAATTAAAAAAAGGATGTTAATAGCCATTGGCCAGCTGTCCTTTAAATTTTATTTTTAATGAAAAGATTTGTACTTTTATTTTTTTAATTCTGGGGTGTAATAGTTGTCCTTTTCAATATTTAAAAAATTTTTTAATTTAATTTTCCTCCTATATTTTGAGGTAAGGTAAAGACTAGAGATCGAGCTGGACCAAAGCCTTGGAGTTTCCTGTACCCAGAATCCAGGCCAAGGCATTTTTTGACCTTCCTGGATTTTTTCTGGGCCAGGGTTTTTCCTGGATTACAGGCCCAGGATCCGGCCCAGGTCAACAAATCAAACCCGGAACCTAGGAACAGGCCGTGGCTTTTCAAAAATTTCGATCATTAGTAAAGTCCTAAAACGTTCTTAAATGCCTCGACTTGGAAAAATTAGCCAATTAATTTTTCGACTTTCTAATTCTATTCTATTCGATCTTAATTTTAAATCTTCCCTAGACGTCTCTTTAGACTTTAAATTTACAAATTTCCAAGACCGTCTAGGTAAACTCCGAGATATTTTAAATTTAAGTATCCCCTTTCCCCCACTTTTCTCGTTTTCTTCAAAAATTTTAAAGTCTTCCTTTCTATTGTTCCTCTTCTTCTTTTTTAAATTTGAAAGGGAAAATACAAAGAGTGGAAGGATAAAGAATGAAAAAAATTTTTCTGATGGACATTTAAAGTAGAAAATCTCTCTTTTTCAACGTTTACCAAGAAAACTATATTTAGTAACAGCTGGAGTAACCGACCACACAGCAAATATTTGAGAAAGAGCCAGTCGGAAATGAAAGGAAAAAAGAAGTGAATTTGTGAAAATGAAAAGGAAAAAAAAGTTAAAAAGCAAATTTAGATGTCCGAGAGTTAAAAATGAGTCAATTTCGGGAGAATGGATGGTGGACAGATTAAATGACGTAAACGTGTCCAACTTGAATAAAATGAATGAAAAAAGATTGAAGAGAAGAAAGGAAGGAAATTTAGATGAAAGAGTGGATGAAGAGAAGGAAGAGAGGGAGAGAATGAAGAGGAGGAATAGAATGAAGAGAATGAAAGGAAAGACGAGATGGAAGTGGATGGAGGTAAAGAAGAGAAGAAGGAAAAGGAGGATGAGAAGGAAGAAAAGGAGGAGGAGTACAAGAATGGGTACGAGGAGTACAAAAATGAAGAATATTAAGAGAAGTGAAAGAATAAAATGAAGAGAAGGAAAGTGATGAATAGAATGAAGAGGAGGAATAGATAGAGAAAATGAAAGGAAGGAGAAGAAAGAAATGAATGGAGGTAAAGAAGAGAAGGAGGAAAATGAAGAAAAAGAAGGGAAGAAGGACGAGAATGAAGAATATTAAGGGAAGGAAGAGAATGAATAAAATGAAGAGAAAGAAGGGGAGGAAGAGAATGAAGAGTGAATGAAGTGAAGAAACGGAAGAGAAGGAAGAATGATTGCATAATAGATGGAGTGTCCCTTCCACCCCTGAGCACAGACTCTGAGAGGGACACTCACTGCAATGGACGTCCGAAAAGAATTTTTGCCGGAAAGGACGGATGACGAATTGAGACATACACACAAAGGCTAAAAGTACACACATTTCACTTGAAAAAAGCCCTTCTTTTTTCTCTTTTAAAATTCCCACTCTCTTCTAGTTTTAAGTCGACTGACCGGTCACTCTCTCAAATTACATAAGGCTCGGCTGTCAGTTAAATATAAGGGGGAGAATAAGAATATATAAATGTGTACTTGTGTCTGTTCTCACGGAATAATGACAAAAATGTGGATTTTAGAGTATGGGTATTTTCTTGGCTCTTTAAAGGACTTTCTGAATATTTCATTATGACTACTAGATGGACTTTTAGTAGCCAAAATACTCCCTACTAGATGGGAGTATGTAGGTGTCAGACCATGTAGGTGTAGGATCACCAGAAACTCGAAACCAGCACCAGTTTCAAAAATCACATTTATGTAGGTGTGAAAATCGCCCTCGTATTACAATAATTAAAAATAAAATAATGCCTAAAGATTCAAGCTACACTACTCCTTGTTAGGGTTACCCGAAACACAAACCCCTGAATTTTTCAACATGAAACCGATTATAATGGTTATCAATAATATATCCGGCTGCCACTAAAAATTTAAGATTAACTCAAAATCAAAATTTTCCATTAGAATAATAAAAAATAATAAAATAAAAATACAAAAGTAAAATAAAAGAAAATTTTTGACAAAAAATTCCACCAAAAATTTAAAGAACGAGAATTGCACAAAATTCAAGAAAATGATTGCATAAAAGAGAAAATATATAAAAATTTCAACGGGAAGAAAAAGAAACTTTTAATAAAAGGGAGAGGAAATTGCACAATTTTTCCCTTCTTTTTTCTTTTGAAAAAGGTCAGTTTTCAGTGGCTGGCAGCGTCCGCTGGCTGGACGGAATAGAAATGAGAGACTGTCAAGTCTTCAAAATGACCGATGGTCTCTCGCCAAACAGCTGTGTGGGTGGGCAGTAATGCAAACATTTTTAGTATATTTTTAGCTGTTAAAACTGCTGGGGGTGTGCAGAAACTTTTGCAAGGGGGGAGGGGGAAACGTAAATTGGTGTGTCGGGGATAAAAAATCTGACAATGAAAGCAAAGTGAAAATTTTTGGAAAGGGAGAGGTTAACGATATTGGGGAAAATAAAATTAAATTATAATAAAATAGAATGGAATTTGTATATAAATTGTAAAATAAATATTGTAAAAAATTGTCTAGAAGAAGACAAAACTGAGGAGATAATCTGAGGATATTAAGGGGTAATCTGGGAATATAAGGTAAGTGATTGGAGATATTAAATGAATATTTTGGATGGGTATTTTGCGAACCTACTTAATACTCTCGAAAGAAATAAAACTCAAAATGGACTCCATAAGCGGCAAGAGCTACAGCCATTGCTCCAGAAAGTCCAGTCAATTCAACAATATAAGTCACCCCCGCAATGATGCCAATAAAGGCTCACTGTTCTTCCATTATTGGATTAAGTCGAGCTCCTCTTGTTTGGGTCGACATCCTCTCAGTTGTTCCCAATATTGTAGAATAAACATGATTAAATGTTTAGAGAATACATCGGTCAGTTTTGTTAAAAAACTAGAATCAACACAAAAAATAAACAAAGAAACAACTGTAAGGATGATTCACCTAGCAGCATTTAAAACGCTTAGGCGGGGGATAAACGATCTAAAAAGGAAAAAGAGAAAGCATTAGTCGATGCCCCGGTAGCTCAACGGTAGAGCTCCTGCATATAGTGAGCGAAAGCCTAGCAACAACTAGCAGGTGGTCGCAGGTTCGAATCCTGCCCGGTGGCTAAACTTTTGCAAACTCTTTCTGGTGCCGCTAGCAGGGATCCCCACTTGCTGCTGGGTGAACCAGCCGATCCACGGTCATGGCGCTTGACCGAGGGACCGGTCTGATGTAGGGATGGAGATGTAAGGATGATTCACCTAGCAGCATTTAAAACGCTTAGGCGGGGGATAAACGATCTAAAAAGGAAAAAGAGAAAGCATTAGTCGATGCCCCGGTAGCTCAACGGTAGAGCTCCTGCATATAGTGAGCGAAAGCCTAGCAACAACTAGCAGGTGGTCGCAGGTTCGAATCCTGCCCGGTGGCTAAACTTTTGCAAACTCTTTCTGGTGCCGCTAGCAGGGATCCCCACTTGCTGCTGGGTGAACCAGCCGATCCACGGTCATGGCGCTTGACCGAGGGACCGGTCTGATGTAGGGATGGAGATGTAAGGATGATTCACCTAGCAGCATTTAAAACGCTTAGGCGGGGGATAAACGATCTAAAAAGGAAAAAGAGAAAGCATTAGTCGATGCCCCGGTAGCTCAACGGTAGAGCTCCTGCATATAGTGAGCGAAAGCCTAGCAACAACTAGCAGGTGGTCGCAGGTTCGAATCCTGCCCGGTGGCTAAACTTTTGCAAACTCTTTCTCAACAAAACAAATAACGGAAATCGAGAAAGGTATAAAAAAATTAAAATAAAAAAAGCTTGAAATCATCCCTTCGACGATTTAAAAATATTTCCTTATTGACCATTTTGAAAAAACTAATTTAAAAATAAATAATTTTATGCGAGTTTATGACTACTAGTCATAAATAAAAGACTGTAGGAGAAGTGAAAGAAAGACAAAGACTGTAAAAGAGACAGAGAAGCGAAAATAATTAATAAATGCATAAAAATTAGTGTTCTCTACCCTCCTCTATGAACCGTCTAAAATTTGTTATTTTTCAATATTAATTATTTTAAAATAAAGTCTAAAATTTTGGGCGCCCCATAAAGTCCACGTGCTTGTGCAGGTGGCAATCAAGTCCCCCTGCCTTCGTGCAGGGGGCAACTCAAGTCCCCCTGCCTTCGTGCAGGGGGCAACTCAAGTCCCCCTGCCTCCGTGCAGGGGGCAACCCAAGTCCCCCTGCCTTCGTGCAGGGGGCAACTTAAGTCCCCCTGCCTTCGTGCAGGGGGCAACTCAAGTCCCCCTGCCTTCGTGCAGGGGGCAACTCAAGTCCCCCTGCCTTCGTGCAGGGGGCAACCCAAGTCCCCCTGCCTTCGTGCAGGGGGCAACTCAAGTCCCCCTGCCTTCGTGCAGGGGGCAACCCAAGTCCCCCTGCCTTCGTGCAGGGGGCAACCCAAGTCCCCCTGCCTTCGTGCAGGGGGCAACTCAAGTCCCCCTGCCTTCGTGCAGGGGGCAACTCAAGTCTCCCTGCCTTCGTGCAGGGGGCAACCCAAGTCCCCCTGCCTTCGTGCAGGGGGCAACCCAAGTCCCCCTGCCTTCGTGCAGGGGGCAACCCAAGTCCCCCTGCCTTCGTGCAGGGGGCAACTCAAGTCCCCCTGCCTTCGTGCAGGGGGCAACTCAAGTCCCCCTGCCTTCGTGCAGGGGGCAACCCAAGTCCCCCTGCCTTCGTGCAGGGGGCACAAATTTTGGACCGTCCCCTGCCTTCGTGCAGGGGGCATAAATTTTGGACCGTCCCCCCTGCCTTCGTGCAGGGGGCAAAATTTTGGAGTGTCCGTGTGCCGTTTTGTACATTGGACCGTCCCCTACTTCGAAGGGGGCATTTTATCTTCTGTTTTAGCAATTGTAGCTGCTTTACTTCGGTTATGTTTAGAATTATCAACGCTACATGAAAGGCAAATGGATCATGATTTGTGTAAGGCAAATGGACCCTATTAGCCCAGCTTCAATTCACTGATACAGGCCTGGAGCCAGGATTTTTTCAGAGTTATGAAATTATTAATTTAAGCTAATCTTCTATAAAAATTTTTTCCTTTATAAAATTTAAAATGTGATCGGAAACATTTATAATATAACATATGTACACTCTAAACATATGTATAAAAATACAAATCACGCATTGCCGCTCTTTACAACTTGTACTTTTAAATAAAAATTGGCCTCATTCTGATGAATGGCCGAATGGAAAAAAGGGAATGGACGGCTAAAAGTAAAAAAAAAGAATGAAAAAGGGAATGTAAAGCTGCAAGTGTGTGTGAGTAAAAATAGGAAGAAGGGGGGGGGGGGTAGCTGGCAGCAATGAAATAAAATTGTGGACGGAGAGGGAGGGTGGAAGTGAGTAAAAAGGAATGGACGATGAAAAAGGAAAAATGGACCCGAGGAAAAAGAATATAAAAATGAAAATGGACGGAAAGGGGGGCATTTGTCGAGAGTAGAGAAAGAAAATCTAAAAAAAATTAAAAAAGTAGGGGGGAATTCAATATGAGCAGGAAGGAATAATTACAGCTGAAAGGACCTAAGGGGAAGAAAAGTTAAAAAATAGAAGGTTGAAATTCAGTCAAAAAATATCTAAAATTATTTTGAATTGTTGCTCATTGCTGCCAGCTACCAGTTACTTTTGTGGGCATTTGCCAAAAAAAAATTCCAAAGACTTCAAAAGAGACAGGGGCATGTTCTTTTCTAGGAATCAAAATTAGACCGGCTAAGAGTGGCTCAACTACAATGCGTCCAGTCAAAGTTTATAAATCACATAGGTCTGGTATGTTCCTTCTTCAGGATGTCCTTCTTTAGAACCTCCTTTGGGACGAAAGGCGAAACGGCACACCCCTGATTATGTACTACATATGACGTCCAACATCTCAATAATTTATTCCGGCTTCCAATTACACTTTATCCAATCAAGAGTTCATAAATCACATAGGTCAGGTATGTTCCTTCTTCAGGATGTCCTTCTTTAGGACCTCCTTTGGCTTTAAAAAGCCAAAGACAAAAGGCGAAACGGCACACCCCTGATATGGTATGACGTCCAACATCCCGTTAATTTTTTCCAGCTTCCAAAAAAAAGTATATATACTCTCGAAAATATCTCGAGTCTCTCGACTTATGGCCACAGGGTAAGTAAAAGTACAAATGTACGATTACGGAAGAAAGGAAGGAGGAAGTGAAAAAAGTAAAAAATTTTAGTTAAAAAGTGTGAGAGATAAGAGGAACATTCATTCACTGGAACATGAGAACATAGAATGAGTGGACATTGGGCGCTATATATAACGGACCCTTCCTTCATTCTCTCTTCCGCCTCTTCGCTTTAAAAGATGAAAGGAAGTGTGTGGTAAATTTTGTTCTCAAAAAAGATATAGAAATTTTGGTGGGGGGAGGGGGATGTTAAAAGTATAAAACATGCACACACACATGACAGCCGGTTGGCGCATTATTTAGTAGATGAGAAAAATGTGCACAAAAGTATTGGCCAGTTTTCTCTCATTTTCCCCTTAGTTTTACTAAAAATTGAGGGGAATAAACGAACGGGCGAATTGAGAGAGAAAAGAAGGAAGAAAAAAAAATATATTTTTGAGAGAATGGACGAAAAAGAAAAAAAATGGACGGACATTAGCTGGGTGGTCACATATTTTTCAGCTGTACTTTTGTTGAAAAAAGCAACAAAAAAACTTTGAAAAATAAATATATTTTTTGGCGGAAAATGGCAAGAATAATAAAATATCTGCGGACATGATTTTGCGGATAAGACTTGATTAAAATGATTTTAAAGCAGTATTGCAACTACCAATTTTTTTAAAAGTAGGATGAGGTTGTAGCAGGCTTTTGAAGGAATTGAAAATTTTGTTTCAACTTTAAAAATCCAACTGAACGAGTCGCAAAACTTTTTTTGAAGCAAATTTTCGCAGCAAGTTTAAGCAGAGCAACTTTCGACAGTATTCTGAAGAAAGTTTCTGAAGCAAATTTCTGTTGCAATTTTCTGTTGCAAGTTTCTGCTTTGAGTTTTACAAATTATGAAAATCCATTCCATCCGCAAAATTAAATTCCGCAATTAAATCAAAGCAGAAAATGACTAGTAGTATTAAAAATCCAAAGGAATGATTGTTCGCTCGGATGTTTTTTGCGTATAGTTGTTCAGTGTTTGCCTGTTGGAATGCGCCGGCGGCTATGTTATAGAGAAAAAAATTTTTTTGAAGAGAGAGATGGATGATCACAAAAATATATTTAGTCTTCGTACTAACAGCCGAATTATTTTTTTTTATTTATTTATAAAAATAAAAGTACAGCTCTAAATAAAAATTACAAAGGAACCACCCACAAAGGAGGAAGAAGCAAAAAAACTCTCCGATTGGGAGCGGAAAAAATAAATAAATGAGAGAAAAAAGATATCGCGCGAACAACGAACGCGGAGCGATATAACGAACATTTTTTTGTGTAGATATTTATTTATCTAAAAATATATACAAAAATAGATTAGTATTTAGTAGATGTACTTGTAGAAATGATTTTTTAATGTTGGATAATTTTTGGGATCCACTGTTTTAAGTTAATATTAAGTTACTAATATTGGAAGCAAAATTATTTTTAATAAGTTTACAAGTTTGTTGCTAATTTAAATTACAAACTTGAAATAATTTTTGAGAGAAATCAAGTTTACAACGGAAAAAAAGTTACCCAAAAGCGGTATTCTAAGAACGAGGTAGGGGGTTCAGCTGCGGGTAATCATTGGGCTCTGGTTGATTTTCTTTAATTATTTCCGCGACTCGTGGTTCTATTACCCGGGTAAGAGGAACCTCGTAAGTATACCTTGTACCGTTACCTCGTTCCTAGAATACTGTCCCAGAGGTAGCTGAGAGAGAGAGAGAGTTTGTAAAAAAAGAGAGTAACGAAATTACAATTCAAGTTTTACAATTTATTTTGCAATAAAGGTTTTATGAGTTAGAGTTTTACAATTCAAGTTTTGCGTGTATTATAATTTGTAATTATTTAAATTTATTTTTTTCTCTCTCCTTTTATTAAGACAAATTTTAATATATTTTATTAGCACAATTTTGTTTTTAAATTTGAATATGTAGTTGCGACTGGAAGGATTTGTATAGAGAAAAGAAAATTTGCATTTTTTCTTTTTTTTTCGTTAAAAAGAACCTAATATATCCAAAAATATAAATTTAGGGATTTAAAATATATTTAAAAGGTTGCGCAGCATTAAATTGCTCAATAGAGAAAAAGAGAAAGCGTCGAGTGGGAAAAGTGTGTTTTTAGAGGGAAACTTTTTGGAACCAGTTCTAAATAAAAAGGGAAGTATTTGAGGGAAAAAATTGAAAAGAGGGAGGATTTTGAAAAAGAAAAATTTTGTGTAAAATTTAAATTGATGGATCGCCTTTAGGGAGATCGCCAACAAGAATAAATGGACATTCCCCTTACCTTTATGTAGATTTTTGAAAAGAGAAAATTTTTGGTAAGAGAATTTTTGGAGGAAGAGAAGGAAAGTGCAGAAGAAGAGGGAAGAGAACAGAAAATTGAAAAATAAAACCGGATTTGAAGGAGAAAAGGAGAAAATTGTTGCGAAAAAATTTTTAGATTTATCCGGACTGAATATTTAGAAGGTAAGTAAAGGAAGGGAGAGATTGGAGTGGTTGGTTGTAGGGAACAGCCGGGGGATATTGAGAGAAAATTTAAAAATAAATTATAAAAAAGAAAAAAAAAGATTTTACAATCATTGTGCGCATTACGAGTTTTAATTTTGAAAAAAATTTTATAAGCCAGTCGACCTTTTAAATAATTTTCACTTTTACGATCCCCCTAAAACAAGTTAAATAATGGAAGAGACTTTTATTAATTTTGCGCAATTTTCCTTTCAAAAATCCCATTCAGTTTTGTAAAATTCAAAATTTTAACAAAGAGATAATAATATATAAATTATATATAATAAAATCAGAATATATGAAAGGCTTGGATTTAATATTTAAAATTTGTAAAAAATATTTTAAGGGTTTACAGCCATGGAGGAATAGAAAATATGCCTATTCTGAAATAATTAAATTGTAAAATATATCAGAATTAAGTTTACAATTAAATTCTGATATTTTACCAAAAATTGTTTATGAAAATTCTGATCAGAATTTGTTTTTATAAATTTAATTCTGGTCGAATACAATTGTCAGAATTTAATTTTAAATAATTGTAACCTACCAGAATTAAGTTTACAATTAAATTCTGATGTTTACAATTCTGATGGTCTACAAATTCTGATCGTTTACAAATTGTAAAATAGCATAATTCTGGTATACAATTAAGGGTTACTAATTTATCAGAATTTGTAATTTTTACCGTAGTATTTTACAATTTGTGATTCTTCTGAAATTAAATTAATAATTAAAAACACAATATCAGAAGTTTTACAAACGAATTCTGGTAGTTTACAATTTCTATATTTTACAATTTCTGATAATTTTACAAATTCTGGTAATTTACAAATTCTGGTAATTTACAAATTCTGGTAATTTACAAATTCTGATATTTTACAATTTCTGTTTTTTACAAATTCTGAAAATTATAAATACTAAAATACAATTGTAAAAAGTGTCAGAAATATATTTAAAAATCAGAATTTCTTAGAAAATAAATATTTTTAATAAATCAGAATATAATTTAGATTAGTCTAAATGATAACAGTAAAGAAATTTTTAAAAAATAAATTTAATAAAATTATATTATTATGCAAATTTTATTCTGACAGCGGCGATCAGAAAAGAATAAATGAATGAAAATGCTTTGTATTTTTGTGAAAAAAAAGAAAATTGTACAAAAAAGCATTGGTCATTTTCGGACCAATTGTATTTAACAATAGAAAATGTAACAAATAAGAATGCATATGTGTGTGTGATTTGGAAGGGTTGTGAAAATATTAAAATAATGAAACATGACAAATTATAAAAAATAAAAAATATTAAAAATTAAAATAGTAGGCAAATTTTATTTCGATCAGAAAAACTCTGAAAATTATTTTTATAGACGAGATTGTAATTGTAAATGATTAAGACTTGATTTCAATAAAATAGAATTAATTACCAAAAATAAGAAATTAAAAATTGAATCTAGCTGTAAACCAGGGATTGGGTCTTTGCCAGGGATGGTGTTATCACCAGGGATGGGGTCTGTTACGCTTCCACCTTCCATCCTAAATTTTTTAAAATAAGTCAGGGCCTAGATCTATTGTAAAATTACAAAAGAAAACTTGCAAAAATTCTAAAAATACATATATCCTTCCCTTTCTTTATTTTTATTTTAATATTAATACGTATGTTCTAAACATCGTTAATCATTTTTTATCCACATAAATACACACAAATTTACTTTTTAAATAACAGTAAACATATTTATATTTAATTTCACTTAAATAAATATTTCCTTATTTATATATCTTTCAAAAAAATATTTTTAATCCTTTAATACATCTAAGTGGAAAAATAGGATATTTTTCGAATGGTCATTCACATATTTTTTTAATAAAAAATGTTAGAATGAGGAAGTTCACATGGGAAGGCTTCCGGTTCTAATTGAAGGGTTATTTACTTGATTTAGCTAAAATTACAATTAATTAGTGTTTTACAAATTTCTGTTTTTACAATTCTAGTAGGTACTTTCTACAATGAAATTTGTTT